GAAACCCAACACGAGTGAAAATCAATACAACTCAATCAGTGTCTGTCAATCTTAGGTGAACAGACAAATGTTTTGGAGATAATTATATCCCTCAGGAATTATCATTATTTACCCATCAAATCGCCCTGATATAAGGAATAGCTGTACGTTTTCTTCCTGTCATTAACTGAGAGGCTTTAATGCTAAAGAAACAAGATGATTTTAGCTACCATCGGGTATTACAATTTTCAAAAAGCACCAGTGATTAAAACAACCCAAGACTCCATTTAATGAAAATCCACTTAACCGCTTCCTACAATCACGCTGGGACAAACTGTGGCTGCAATTCTGTTGCCTAAACCATTAAAGACAACTCCCTCTGGCACAAGGGGGTACAACATTAGTATTCTTCCTTTTGTGTTGTAATGACCTTTTCACAGTGTTTTTCTCATTACGTTTATTTCATGACTTGCCTTGTTTTTTTTATCTTATTTTCAACAACGTTTGTGTTTCTTGTATTTTAATGAAACAGAAGAAGATAGAGATATCACCTTCTTTTACGTGTTTGTTAATGTTGTTAATAAAAACACACAAAAAACTAGTACCTACTGAATAGAATTCAAATAACAACCGTTTTGAAATAGCCGATTTAAAATTGAAAACTTCGCCTAATGCTCCATGTATTACAATGTATGTTATAACCTTTGTTAAACATCATACAAAGTTAAACGATAAATTATGTATGAAAATGACAGAAGATGGAATTGTTGTTCATATCATTCAAACATATTTTGAATTGATTGTAGAAACAATAAAGCATAGCTATATTGATCTATAATTGCTAACGAACAATACATTCGTGCTCAAAACCGTCACATTACAAAAACAAGAATGGAACTTATAAAAGATTATATAATAAGATTAAATAAGTAACGACACCAATATGATCAAATTAATTGGCGTAATATACCAATGTAGCTTCTGGTTTGCCACCAACATGGCAAACGTGTTTTGAGAACAGTAAGTTCAGTCGTAATTTTATTTTAACGATATATGCTGTGAATTCACTTTGAATACATACTCAATCTTGGAAGTTGTGGCATGTGCCAGTGTTATTTTGGTAGTGATATTATATCATAAAAACAAAAGCGTGAAACGCATCATTATTTAGATAAAAATCATTGAATGTATAGAAAACAGTATGTAAAGAGGCAAGACCGAGATTGGAGTAGTAATATCACTACCATATTAGATAATAATGCATCGTGATATCAAAGTATCGCCATATCCCTTTTTATTTAAATGAATTGTGTTTATAATCAACACGTGGATATACTGTAGCCTCTTAACATAATTCATCTTTGACAATGATCATTTTCAAGGAACAAACAGGTTTGCTAGAATTATCATGTCTATATAAGAACAATTTAAGGTCTTAGACCCATCATTAGATCGTGAAATTTCGCCTAACTCCGCCCTTCCTCGTAACGGATACGGAGGTACTTCGGGATTACTCGGCTTAGGTCGGCTTAGTTATTCTCTAAAAAATATAAACGTTACAAATTGCGTTTTCGTAAAAAGTATTGTAAACAAAAATTAAATAACTGCTATTTGTTTGGTATATTAACAATATAATATCCAAATTCCCAACAATTCGTTGAAATTATCGGATGTTTGAAATCCACCACTTTGTTTAGAGATTATATGAAACGTCCTTCACCGTAAATGTCAAAATGAAAGTCCGCGATAAAACAGGCCGTTACAAGAAAGTTGTGAATTCTCGGCGATTAAAGAAGCAGTCGAATGTTATAGAAGATCACAATTATGTTGGAGCACATTTGTGTAATGGACAAGACTGTGAATGCCAGCCGAAATTGCCTAAAAATGTGTCAAGGATGGGCTGGAAGACAGGTCGTAGAATCGTTGAGTTTGATGTTCTTCTTTCTGGTTTAAAGTGTTGCAAATTCTGTGGTCTTGGACCAGTTCCACTGACGCTTTATCGCTTTCAGGTTAATCCGTATACACAACATGATCACGTATGCTACTACTGTGTCCAAATTATCGCCTAATCATACCACTCCCTCCTCTACCATAATACATATTACAGATACGATACAAGAGTCGAGACGATCGACCTCATGCATGTGACTCAATTCATGCTGACACATTCGATGGGAATTACAACAAATACATATAATATATGCGAGATTTTAAATGAAAAAGCAGTTAAAAGCGACATGCGTAAAATGGTTTTACATAGATCAAATACATGTTGTCCTTCATAATTTGCTTCCAATATACTACTATAATCTTTGTAGCAATCGCACTTCGACAAGTCTTCAGGTGGGCCCTGGTACGCTAGTATCAATGAACTTTGCTGCTGAATTGCAACCTGAGCGATTAGATTAACAACACATCCTTAAAGGACCATGGAGCAACGGGCTGGCAAATGCTTGACTTGTACTGTAACATCTCACATGTTATCGGAGGCAGGCTCCAAAATGTATGCCCTATTACATCAAGATCAGTAAGATGTAGTTCAAGCTAATTTGACTATAGCCATTGCGAGCACAATTTCTAAATGTTCATATTTACGATGGCTTCAATGAAAATATCGGTGGATAATTCGCAATATGCCTATTTGCACTGGAATGCCAAGGCTCTCTTAGTATTGTGAACTCGAAATTCCCTATTGTAACTGGATGCTTAGATGACCCAGGTTCGCTTCTTTTACATTTTAAAAGAAAAATCTACTTTATTTATTGTACCTATAATGTATAAATACCAATCATTAATCATACATGCTCTGACAAAATAAGACAAGCGTTCAAAGAATCTCGAGTCAAATATTCGAACCCAACAACACATACATATAAATGTTTATTGTATTAGCCACGAAACGAGTCAAGGTACTAGACAATTTTGTAATTCATGCGCAAAGTGGCTCGACTGAGTTCCAAAGTGAGAGCTGCCGACAGAATGGGCAGAACGCTTCTATTCGTAAAGTATTCTCTGGGCTACCGGCCATGATATACGTTTGCACAGCTTTGCTACTCTGATATGGTCCGTATGTCCCAATCTTCCAAATTCGTTAACCTCTCAAACTCAAAGTTAGCAGTTCAATGAGTAGGGCATTTAGTGAGAAGACATAATACTCCATTATTTCATAAGCGAGGAGCATAACAGATCTTATAAAATTGTATAAATTTCAATGTGAACGGACCAGTTATTCTCAATGTTTACTGTTCAGAATTCTTACAACTCTCTCACAGAATTTTTGCTTTATTATTTTCTTTACTCCGCTAAGACTTTGTTTTTAAAACCAAAACCAACCAGGTTGAATTGAATGTTTGGATTTGATGTAGAATTGAAAAAAAATAAATGGAAACTGAAAAAAAGGTGAAAACTCTCCTCCGCTTTGAAAAGGTTAAAAAAAAAAGTACTAATTTTTGGGTAAAACTTTGCAAATCATGAAGGGGAACCCTTACTAAAAAGGGAAAAACAGGTTTTGGCTAACAGGGCCTTTAAAATTAGAGCAGATCCCCCAATTTTTAAATCGCATCTGGACGGGTTTTCCAAGCCAATCAAACACCCCTTTTGTACCCAATTTTTTAAGAAAAATTTTGCCCAAAAAATACCAATACCGGGACAACATTTTAGCAAAAACCAACTTTTTTTTCCCAACATTTTTAAAACCCTTTAAAAATATTTTTGACCCACTTCTGAAAAATAAGGAAAGTTTTTTTGTCTCTAAAAAAAAATTCCCTTTAGGGGTTTGAATTTTTTAAAAAGTGTGCATTTTCTTCGGCAATTAAAAACAAAAAAACTTAAAAAAAGGGTTAAAAAAAACAAAAAAAAAACATGCCAAGCTGTCTCGGCCCAGAAAACACCATCAATTTCGATTTTTTGTCGGGACAAAGGTTCCCCTTGTCACCCCTAGAAAAAGGAAGGGGTTTTTGTGCGGTAGATACTGCCTGGCCCCCCAAAACTGGCCCTTTTAAACACCCCTTTGCTTTTAATTTTAATAAGTTTTTAAACTAAAAAAACCGGTTTTAAATCGCAAACCAGAAAGTTTTGGAAATGCAAACCCAAAACAAAAAAAAATTTAAAAGGCCCAAATTTGCAAACCCGAAATTTTTAACTTAGTTTTTTTTTTTTAAAAATTTTGTGTAGGGGAGGGGATAGAAAATAGAGGAGAAAAGTGGGCCAATGTTTTAAAAAAATGTTTCCTCTGAGAAAAAACCAAAACCCATGGGGGAAAAATTTAAATTTTCTCAGGGTAATTTTTTTTGATTAATGCTTCCAAAGGCCCACTTTTTTTCCCAGATTTTTTTTTTTTTTGGTGGGTTCCTTTGGGGGTTAATTTTTAATTGGTTGCTTTTTGAAAAATAAGGGTTTAAGTTTTTCCAACAAAAGAAAAAAGATAAAAAGATGTTTTTTTGGGTTTTTCATTTTTTAATTTTTAAAACCCCACATTCTTCATAGACAGGCAATAAGGGGGAAAAAAAAAGTAGTAAAAGGGGCCAGTCTTTAGTTTTGGGGCCCACCCCCAATTTTGCAAAGAATCAAATAAACACGGTGATCCAAAGGGACTAGAAGAAAATTTAAAACCCACCATATGGGCTGGGCTGAAAATCAAAAAAAAAACCATTAGTTTGGAAAAAGAAATTTTTGGAACAGAAAATAAAATTTTTGGGTGAAAAAACTTTGGGAAAAGAACATTTTCCCTCTTCGGGCGAAAAAGCCACAAAGCTCCAGAATTTATCGTGATCTTCATTACAAATTCAGAAATGTGTGAAGTATATTCTAGCAAAGAATCAAGGTGATCCAAAGGGACTAGAAGAAAAATCTGAAAGCTTTAGTACCTCAATCAATTCGCAGACCACACAATGTGCAGCCTCGATGGTGTGGGTACAAGCGTGACCGCAGTGTTAAATACTCACACAGAAAGCCTGCCCTACAAAGGACCGCTTAAGGACGACCACCTTAGATCTCAGCTAAGAAAAACTGTTTTGAACCAGTTGTGATGAAGGCTCCCCAGCTCGCAGACCTAGGTTCGAGTCAGCAGTGCGAGCACGCCAACAGAGAGGTCACCATGAGGGCTCCAAAGTCCCTTCATTATGGGAATTCAGAATCTTTGGATTTTAGAGTGAAGGCCACAGCAGCATTCATCAATGAAGGGGCGTCACTACATTTCAAAGGTACATATCTTGTTACTGTTTAAGTTTGTTCTGTTTAGTTTGCTTGTTATTTTATTTACAAATGTTAGACCAGTACAGACATAGTTTTGAACAACAATTAAGAAAGTCATAACAACCTTTCATTTGTGGTATATACTAGTTCTGGAGACCCTGTTTCCTTGGTATTATTGTTTTCAGTATTACATATATTTGTGAATTTTTCATGCATAATTTTGGCAAACTTCAACCATCACTCGAAAAATAAAGAACATTCATAAAGTAATAAGCATTGATTTATATTTGAGAAAGAGAAAAACAGTCTCTTTCAGATTGTTGAAGCCTTTGAAAAAAAAAAAATAATTTTTCATGGAAGTGTATTTAGTTGGATGTATTGCCAAAATAATGTTGGAATGTTTGTTTGACGGTTGATTGATGTTAATTGTTTATTGAAGTTTGTTGTTTTTGTTCAGCTGTTCCAGTTCAGCACTGTTATTATTCAAGGAACAAGATGTTGACAGGTGATGATCATAAGGTAAATACTCTATTATCTAGAACTTTGGAAAGATTGTCATTAAATTTTCTGTTATGCTTTGTGCAGATAGGACCTGTATGCCAGTCAGTTTTATGAGACAAACAATCCACAAGATGACTTTTATATAAAGATATAAGCAATTGCTGTTGAAAATGTTGAATGATAATGAAGAAAAATATTGCTTATAGACCACTATGCCACCTTGATGGAATGTATAAATTGTTGGGTGTGAAAAGCAAACTTTATTGAATAATGGTGTTACTTTTACAAAAATCATAATGCAGTTTTCCTCAACAATAGTAAAGAGTTATGAAATAGTTCCCATTTTATCTGAATTATTTTTGCCTGGGTTTATATATAGATCAAGAAAATTCTTTTCTTACAATATCCATGTTTGACTGAATATTTCATTTTAAAGTGTGCTAAATAATCTGATTACTGCTTTCAGGTACACTCCGAGGCAGGTCTTTCCCCTGGTGTCCACAGCCTCAGATATGCAGATAAATGCCAGAAGCATAGGAAGCGTGTCCAGGAAAGATCGGCACTGCCATCGACTAAGCGGCGGCGACTTCAACTAAAACAAGAGCGGTCAATAACACAAGGTGCTCAAGAAGCTCTTGAAGGCATGTCTTATCAGTCAGGTAGGTAAAGTGATTTGTGCTGTTGTTTTTTTTACTTACAGAACAAACATATGAGCCGTGTCACGACAAAACCAACATAATGGGTTTGCGACCAGCATGGATCCAGATCAGCCTGCACATCCATGCAGTCTGATCAGGATCCATGCTGTTTGCTTTCCAACTCTATTACAAGTAGAGAAACTGATAGCGAACAGCATGGGTGGTCTGGATCCATGCTGGTTGCCAAACCCATTATGTTGGTTTTGTCATGACACGGCTCATATACATGTATTTTGGCAAAATATATACTGTCAGTCTTGCAGGTACTGGTGTTTCCTTTTTCTTTTCCTTCTTCGAACATCATTTCTTGTAAATATAAACATTACTAAAACAAAGTTTGCAAATTACCTTTGTTTTTACTTTTATAGGTTATATTCTAATCTATATATTTGTATTTCAGAGATTGGGCATTCAGATGATGCTGACATCCAAAAGCTGCCCAGATCCAGTCCCTCGAGGTGACTTCAAACCTATAGTGCTGCCAACAGGACAGCCTACATACATTGCTTTTGACCTGGAGACAACTGGCCTTAGTAAGTAGACCTGTATTGCGAATTTGTTGATATATATATCATGTGAAAACTGTAACACAGTTGCTTTCATTTTAGGTTATCGTCCTTCGATATTAGGTTTGAGTGATTAGTCGTCTCTTTAAAATATAATTGTAAAAAAATATGCAATATATCAGGAATGGTTTATCCTTATTCGGAACAAGCTGAATTAGAATAAGATCTCAGATTATTTATAAGAGGCACATAAAACAGCTCAAAATTGTTTATTTATTTATAAATAATTGTGTTGTTTGTTTCAGTACACGATGGCCAGATCCCACATATAACCCCAGGTTGCTGCCACAGAACCTAAAAGTGGGAAAGCTTTCAATATGTATGTTCTACCTACATTGCCCATATCTGACAAGGCACAAGAAGTGACCGGCCTAAGAATGGTGGATCACAAGATGCAGTACAATGGAACTAATGTAGAGGCTTATTCCATATATGAAGCTTTGAAATTCATATTGTGATTGGTTAGAAAAATTTCAGAATGTTGTATTGGTTGCGCATAATGGCAGAAGATTTGACTTTCCTTTTTTGTTTGACGGCATGTGACAATGTAGGATTGAGGGACAGAAATGTGTAAGTGTGTTGCTGGATGTGCGGATTCACTGTCTATATTTAGAAAAAGCATACCCAAATAGGAAGTCTTACAAACAGGAAGACCTTGCAAAGGATCTATTGGGAGCTTCATACTTTGCTCATAATGCTTCAGAAGATGTCTCGATTCTTGGTAAACTTATTCACCACTTGGACATATTATCTGTTGATCTGCTGCCACACACATTTTCAACAAAATCTGTGTACAATTCCCAGTTGTGCAGTCGCGGAAAAAGCAAAGAATTTGCCGTCACTTAGAGTATTGATTTATAATAGTGTGTGTAAGTTAACTACAGCCGAGAGAATATTGCTGCGTCCGGCTTGAACCTACAACATCTAAGGTGCATCTTTAAGCGCCAAGGCGAAGATGGTCTTCGGAACATTTTCGTGATGAAGAACTGTGACGGTCAGCCACGAGTAACTAATACTAAAAGAACATTAGAAACTGTTATCCCTGCCCTTGCCACAGTATTTTTCAAGGAATTAGTGTATGACATAGCATTTTTTATATGATATACTTCTGTGTTGCTCCAGAGGGGATACTTTGGGAATAATACAGTTTAGTACACTGCTCGTGCTCTTTCTAAAGTCAGAACAATACGTTGAGATCCATTTTCAAGTTGACAATTTTTACATTTACTCAGTATATACAGTAATTAACATATTATAGAATGCTTAGAATATAGCTTCATGATAATTAGGTCATTTTGAGAATGTTTGATACTTTTTCAAAATGTATTTTGAATTTTACATAAAGAAATGTGTACTGTTGATGAAAAAATGGCCAAAATCAGTTTATGGGGTTGTCAAATAAAATGCTGTATATTTTACAAACAACATGGTAAATGATGTCTTTCTTTTCTTATTTTTCTCATATGGTATGTTAGATAATTTCTATGTATTTCAATTGGCTGGACCTTGTAAGTAGGTTATAGAAAATTCTTAGAAAAATTGAAGTACAAGTCTACATTTTCACGATTTGGCCATTTCCGAGTGACAATGGTAACATATTTTTGTTTTCATAAGTTTTATTGCAAATACTGTTACTCAAATGATATTTTATTTTGATAATATAATAAATGTACTACAATTTGGTACCAAATTTCTAATGTTTTGCAATATCTGTTGAAAATAAGCTCATTTCTATAGTTCAACTCTGGTAAATTTTACACGATCCAGAAAGGGAAAGGCCGAAATCATACACTTGGTCATAATTTTCTTATTAGATGGTAAAAGTCAATGAAAATTTGCAAACATGTCAGGCATGTAGCATAGATTCAATAAATATTAACATTCCATAGGTTCTAAGATATGTCAATGATGGGTCTAAGACCTTAAGGAAATACACGATAATGATAACACGCCACAATTCAATTTCCGTGCATACAACCGATCTTATTGCTTTTCAACAACCGTTTCCGTGTTGTGTAAAATTAAGTTTCGTTTATATCTAATATACAGCTCGGTAAAAGGAAAGGCATAAATGTCTTTAACAACTTCTACAATTAACCAAGGTGGTTTGATGTAGACCATATAGGCAATTTTAAAAATGTGCAAATCGAATATATTTATAGCTCATACCAAGCGAACAATTGTAAATAAAAATGCTTCGATTACAATTAAAGCGAAACGGAAATCATCTGATATGTTCATTCATTTTGTCAGCAAATATTCATTTTGTAAGCAATTATCATAAAATCTAATGTAGCACGAACTGCATAACTGCAATATAAAAGTATCACCTAATTAACTTGTGACTTATCAGCCTGATCAAAATAATTATCTCAATACTGAACCGCAATATCATGTCAATAGAAATCGGTTAAGGATACATGTTCTATTTTATTTACGTGACACTTTCAAATTTATTTCGTATTCATATTGAATGTCTAAGCAGATACCTCTAGCGCCTCGTTAACATTTTCAATAACTATGCTGTAAGATGGATAAGAAAAGAGCTAGAAGTGACAGCAACATGAATATTCATTTGTTTTGCAATGAAAAAAGCCTGGCGTTAATTGTTGCTCTGAAAGATGCAGGTACTAAATATATCGTTAAAAATACCTTTACTACGCAAATAAAATTATATTGATTCAGACAATATGTTAAAAATGATAGTCGACGAGGCAACCAGCCGGACACTGGTCTAAACAGGGATGGACTGAGAAGCGGACGTTCTAATAAGTGCTGTTAATGGTCAACAAACAATAAAAATATCAGTTGAAATAAAATGAGAATATTGGAAGTTTAAGTGAAGAACAAGATAAAATTATAGCTAAGAAGATCATTATGCATGCTAGCACAAGCTATTTACGTAGCATACAAAATTATACAACTATATAGACAAAAACATGTGTAAGGTAACAAAATCACGGGACTATAGATTAAAGTGTGTAAAGTACGATATTTATATATAGTAATGCATCTTATGAGAATGACTTGTTATGGTAGGATAAGGTATGGTACATTATAGTATGGGATATGTTGTTGAATATAATGTTTTATACAGTATCATATCATATCGTATTCCAGCAATGTGTATAAACATAAACATGATAAAGCATGATACGGTGTGAAATGCTTAAATTTTGGAGAAAACAAAATATGAATTTCAGAACTGAAAAAAATATAACCCGAGCTTTAACATCTGTTTTTCATTTCCATTCATTTAAAACAAGGTAATGGTGTATACCACAAATGTTGGTAAATATTTACACTGATGTTTAAATTATTCGTCTAAAGGTGTACTCACAAAAACACATTTAAATTCAATCAACATTATAATCGATATAAAATGAAATTATATTTAATATAACGATCTGTTAAATTTAGCACTTTCAAAGCTGTAAATATATTTTTATATTATCTAATAAGCTTTTAAAACTGTTAATTGCTTAACATATTAGGAAAGTAGCAAATGTCATGACGAGTTAGTTCAAATATTAATTGAAATTTAGTTCTCGGAACTTTTTTATGTAGGTTGAAATTGCAAAATTGTGGAAAAGAAATACCAATCCACAACGACCAAAATCAACCAAATTTATCCGAAAACACAGAACACTTCTATGTAGATAAAAATTGACTTCATTATTATAACAGATACATTTTGTTATCACTCATTTCAGTTTACAAACCTAATTTATAAAAACCATCTGTTATCGACTTTGGCGAACATAATGTTTGTATATAACATATTACAAATTGGAATTTCGGATATTAATAAAAGACAGACTGCTATCAAAAGACACTGTAATGATAGGATTGTCTCTCAAACTACTATTGAAGAAAGTCAATTCCATCCCGTAAGAAAAAAAAACGGAATCATGTTCTTGATTAATTCTTTACAATAATATAGGATATTCTCATCTTGAACACTATCATAAGTTTGATAAAAATGAATATGCATTTGGACTAACCAGAATTTAAAAAAAAGAAACATGTGACAATAAATGTTCTTTATAATTCAAAAACTTTACTCAATGGATCAAAGTGCCTTTTCATCACAGTTAACATAACATTGTTTGGTATTGTACTTTAAACAGATTTATTATACGATGCAATATCATTGGTGCAGACATAGAACATTTTGTAAAATCATATCAAAAATGTGTAGTATCATATTCACTAGCTAAATTGGATTTTCTTTTCCTAATCTAAAGAGATTGAAATACACTACCCTTCATAATTAAGGTTATTATATAATCTATAAATAGCTTTGAAATGCCTTTTCCTTATTGGCTAACAAGCAACTTTTTGTAAAAAATTACAGGTCAATATCAGAGTATATTCACTGTTGTTTTCCTAAAAATAGATTTTCAGAGCATATTCACCGTTTCTTTTTCTAAAAATAGATTTTATCGAAATCCCCACATCATATTGAACAGCTAGAAAGTCAATATTTGTATACAACACTTATGAATAGCATGCTTTTTGTCAAATTTTGCGCTAATAGCTAACATTATTTCAATTGTTTTGTCTTCATTCTGTAAGGGAGGTAATCTTAAGTAAAAGGGAAAGAATGAAAACACAGCATTTCATCGTTATCAGACAAATTATGCGTTGGTTTTAAATTTGAGGCAATTCTTTTCAAAAAACAAGTTTTTTTTTTTAAAGTGAGATTTGTCAAGAAAAAAAAATTCATTCAAAATCAAACAATCAGCATGATCCTATGCGTGAAATGGCATAATATAACATTTTTTGACAAAAATTATCAATAAAACACAACAATAAAGTGATTCGTTTGACAGAAGAACAGCGGTGTAGAATGTCTGGTCCGTCGCCAACATGGAGAGCGTCACTGCCATCGCAAGAGTCCTTGGAGTCACCAGGTAAGAGCCTTTTCTAAAGTTTATACTCTTTTTTATGTCTTTACCAATTAT